GCTTCTCACGTGTTCCGTCAGCATGCAGAGAAGCTTGGCTACTAGACATCTTGAGACATGGCATCATAACATATTGCTGTATTGCATTCTGATATCATATAGATGGTTTTTGAAAGATAGCAGGCATCTATTTTTTCCAACTGAAATAAAAAATCATATTGAAACAGAGTGCTGTGAGAGGGAAGGAGGAGGGAGGCTCAGATGAGCATTTAGCCTCTGGGCTTGTCAGAAACTTTAAGAGGATCTGATTGAATTACATAAATCTCTGCTAGTGGAATGGAAAAGATACATGCTGATTTCTGAGATTTGTCCCATCCTTTGAGCATAGAGTCGCATTTGTTTATTTATTTATTCCATTTATACCCCGCCCTCTCCGCCGAAGCAGGCTCAGGGCAGCTTACGTAAAAATTCTAAACACACAAAACAGAACATTTATAAACCATTCATAAAGTGCTAGTAAACAGTATTGCATAGTGATGGGAAAACATGGCGAAGCATATCTACATAAGAACATAAGAGAAGCCAATGTTGGATCAGGCCAATGGCCCATCCAGTCCAACACTCTGTCACACAGTGGCCAAAAATACCAGGTGCCATCAGGAGGGCCAGGACACTAGAAGCCCTCCCACTGTTGCCCCCCCTCAAGCACCAAGAATACAGAGCATCACTTGCCCCAGACTGAGAGTTCCTATCTATACCTTGTGGGTAATAGCCACTGATGGACCTCTGCTCCATAGGTTTATCCAATACCTTCTTGAAGCCATCCATGCTTGTAGCCACCACCAACTCCTCTGGCAGTGAATTCCATGTGTTAATCACTCTTTGGGTAAAGACGTACTTCCTTCTATCCATTCTAACCCAACTGCTCAGTAATTTCATTGAGTGCCCACATGTTCTCATGTATAACTTGTGAACTCACACATAAAACTGCCATATATCTAATCAAACAGAGTATGTGTCTATCAAGATCACTATTGTCTACTCGAGGGTCTAAAGTGAAGGCCTACATACTCATTTTAAATGGAGATGCTGGGGACTGAACCTGGGACCTTCTGCCTCCAGAGGAAATATGCTACTACTGAGCCACAGCCCCTCTCCAGAAACCGTTCCTTGCACATGGCTTTGTTCCAGATGGGAAGACTAACACAGTAGATGCACGCTACAGAAAGGACAGAAGGGCTATTAACACTGTGTTCTTCCACAGTGTATCATTCTTGCTACTATACTATAAAGATAACACTCCCCTTGTTTAGTAGTAAAGGGTAGAAACAAAAACTCGCAGAACGTGTATCAATTTCTGACAATATATGCTTTCTTTCCTGGCTGAATAGGTGGGATGGATTCTCTCCATCCTGGACCAGTTACGCCTGAATCCTCCACCACCTGTGGCCATCCTTCCCCTGGGGACCGGGAATGACCTGGCAAGAACACTGAACTGGGGCGGGGTAAGAGATTTGATGATTATCAGTTCAGTGCCTGTCTTTGTTCCATGTCAGCATTGTGCATCGAATCTGAGATTAAATTGAGGCAATAGATTTTGAGTATCAGTCCCTCACAGGGCATATCTCAACCCACAGGGTTATACAGATGAACCTCTTTCAAAGATCCTATCACATGTGGAGGAGGGGGAAATTGTGCAGCTTGACCGCTGGAATCTACAGGTGGAGGCAAACCTTGACGCATACCCTGAAGAGAAGGATGAGACAGCTACAGATAAAGTGAGTTCCACGATGCCATCATCACTAAACACAGTATCAAAACCCTGTCCTTGTTCTTCAGCCACCTTCTGGGAACACAGTATGCTCACTCCCCATTTCTGTGGCTTTTGGTTGCTGAATTGTAAGAACAAATTAGTTAAACATAGGGATAAATGTTACAGCAGGGAAAAAATACCAGTTTCTGAATTCCCTTGTTAACCTTAGTGGAAATTCCCATGTGCATCAGAAAGCAAGTGCAATGGAAATCATTACAGAATAATTGCACAGAATAAACCCTTGAAGCAAAGATGGGACATAGAAGGTGAGATAAATAATGATTTTCACTGTGGAGAGAGCTGAATGTCAGTGGATCGCCAAGAGTCTGGGGCCTATGCTTTAAATTTTAAAACATGCATTTAAGTAATGCTCAAATAATTAGGGTTGCCATGAATGCCAACAAAAAACTTGATAACAGTCAAAATGTGCAGCTCTGTATTAAACTGCAGACAAGCTAACTTATTGTCCATTCTGTTTCTACCGGGTTGGCAGTAATTGGTGAACTGTGTAAAAGATTTGTATTGTTTCCCTGCACATGTCATTTGCTCTGAGTTGCACTGCATAAGTAGTGTTATGGCTGCATATGTGCATCAACTACAGATTACACATCCCATGATGCAGTGTGCCTGTGAGTAAAGTATCCCTGTATGAAACCATCCAAGGCCTGTTTTCAGTTGTGAATATGAGAAATATGGCAGTGCACAGAGATAAGCCTAAATTTGTTGTTTTCTGTGGAAATCTGTTGCCTTCGTGGCAGTGCTCCTCAAGAGTATGCACACCTCTCACCCTGACCTGGATAGCCCAGGCAAGCCTGATCTCATCAGATCTCGGAAGTTAAGCAGGGTCGACTCTGGAAAATACTTGGATGGGAGACCTCTTTGGAATACCAGAGGCAGGAGGTGGGGGCAGGCTTTATTTAGCCACCTCTTTGAATATCCTCCAGGCCCCCAGTAGGGATCAGTCACCAGAGGTCTCCATGACTTATTATTTATTTATTTATCAGATGTGTACCCTGCCCTCCCAGCCAAAGTCGGTTCAGGTGCACTCACACACACACACGCGCACATATGAAAAATACAAAAAAAACATACACCCCCCCCCCAAAAAAAAATTATGCACACTGCTCAATTTATCTATCATGTTCTTTGAGAGAAGAATCAAAGTCCATAAAGATGTATGCCACATTAATCCACCAGTCCTTTAAAATGATGAAGCTAAAGGCACTTGGGTTACAAGAATTGTCTTCATGTGGTTTTCATTTCCTTCCATCTTTCATCCCCTGAGGAAGGGAAATTCTGCTCATTGAGCTTTGCTTTGTTGGGTTACAAGCATCTGTAGATGCATTTAAAAGTCACCTCACCTTCAGACTTCACCATCTTTTGTGTGTGTCTGTTTCAGCTCCCCCTTGATGTCTTCAACAATTACTTCAGCCTTGGCTTTGATGCTCGGGTGACACTAGAATTCCATGAATCCCGAGGTAAGTGACAATAAGAGTAATGTAAGGCCACTGCACTCTGTGCTCCGTTTAAGGAAGAATGGCCTCCTCCAGGAAGGAGGTGATGAGTTGTGACCAGTGCTTGTTTATTTATTTATTTGTTGGATTTATATCCTGCCCCCACCAAGGCAGGCTCAGGGCAGCTTACATAATTCTTTTTAAAAGACAGAATAAAAACATAACAACGATTCTAAATTGCTATACATAGATATTGCATGTGAGACAGCGAACAACAGTTTCCAAGTATTATCCATAACAGGTGTCAGTCAATAATGGTAATAGCTGATGGTACAAATTCCAGGGTAGGCTCTGGTTTTAAGTTAAGATGATATATGTGGCTCTCATTCGAATGCCTGGTGGAAGAGCTCCGTCTTGCAGGCCCTGCGGAATTGCAATAAATGTTCCCTCTAAGCTGAGTTAGTGTGAGCTAGCTCACAGTTTTTTAGCCTCTGGCTCTCACATTTTTGTCTTAGCTCAGGAAGGATGGCTCCAGAGCAAACTAATTTATGCATTAGCCAAATCGCTCACTCACAACTTTAATGCCAGTAGCTCACAAAGTAGAATTTTTGCTTACAAGACCCCACAGCTTAGAGGGAACATTGAAAACTTGTTTAATATGTACAGAAGGAGAGAGCCAGTGACAAGGAATTGGAGGGAAATGACTAGAAAATCCATTAGTGACACATTTTATTCTTTGCACTATACGACTGTAATACATGGTGTAATATAGTGTCACGAGGGCAATGCAGGGGAGACAGTTGGCCTTGTAATGTGTGTGTGTGTGAGGTATGGGAGGTGGTTCTTCCACCTTCCTTTCTAAGGAGGGATGTTTGTACAGAGAAGACATTGCTGAAAAGAACTGTAGCCTTTGGGGGGGGGGGTACCTTTCTGAGAGCAAGTAACTGACAGTGACCTTCTTTCTACAGAGGCCAATCCAGAGAAATTTAATAGCCGATTTCGGAATAAAATGTTCTATGCTGGGGTGAGTTCACCAGGAAATTCTGTCACAAACAGTCGAGAATTACTGCTTTTCTTCTCATTATTCGTGAAACAATCAATCATTAAAACACGCATAGCAATCTAAGGTGCAGGTTTCATTATGTAGCCATTTTCATCACAGACATTTCTGGAATAAAGTTTGAGTCCAGTGGCACCTTTAAGACCAACAAAGTTTTAGTCAAGGTATAAGCTTGTGTGTGCACGCACACTTCTTCAGATACAGTGACATGGAAGTTGCCAGTCCATACATACAGGCAGAGGGTGAGCAGCAAATTTGCATACAGCATCAGTCTGTACCTGCACAAGTTTCTTTGTAAGGTTGATGGAATGATTCACATGGAAAAAGGCAAGTGCAAAATGTTCTGCTTGAAATGAGAATCTGCACGGATTTTTTCCAATTCCATCATAATAACATTTCTGTCCCTTTTAATAATTATTGCTATTTCCTGATCACTGGTAAAAGATGTAGAGCATAATATATCACATGAAGCTGTCTTACTTGAATCAGATCCTTGCTCCATCAGGCAGAGGTCTTTCATATAACCTACTGCCAGATTCCTTAACTGGAGATGCCAGGGATTGAACCTGGAACCTCCTGCATGCCAAGCAACTGCTCTACCACTGAGCCACACTCCCTCCCATCAACCCAGACTGAGCATATCCAATTCAGAGAGGGAGAGAACCCAACCCCCCTTTTTCCCTCAAAGCTTTATATGTAGGATTGTGGACGAATGTACCTTTCAAAAGTCCAAAGGACCCTTACTAAGCCAGCATTTCCTATCCCATATTGTTTCAGCTTCTCATGAGAATTGCAGTATTTGCTGGCTTTCTCCATAAAGAGAGCAATATATTCCAGTTTCCTTCCAGGTTTAGCATTTTCTTGAATTTATGTAGCTTATCCTGGCTCCAATTTTGCATCCTCTTGGGAGACAACCTACATGCAGCAAACAGGCTTAATTTTCTTGTCCCTAATACTGCTTTCCTAAGCGTGCATCTATAACTCCTTCTGCTTCAGCTTCAGTTCAGTAAGAAGTAGTAGAGCACAGTGCCCAGAGCACCTTTGATCACCTGCATCTGCTTAGCCAACTCTGACCCTTCTTAGACTCTGCTGATCTGTGCTTTTGCAATTTTGCAGTTGGACTACTACAACACAGTCTGTGTTAGGCTGCCCTTGAAGACAACCTGGAAACTTCAGCTAATTCAAAATGTGGTAGCCTGGTTCAACTGTGTTCATCAGGTTATCAGCCGGTAGTTGTTCCCCCACTCAGGGTGTCCTTCCTGGTGTCAGCCAGTCTGGGCATTTTACACTCTGGCTCCCACACTGTGGAATGGACTCCCTGAAGAGGGGAGGGGAGCCCCCTCATTGGTGATCCTTACGAGGCATTGCAAGGCTTTCTTGTTTGCTTGGGCTTTTGAGGGGGGTATGAATGGCAGGCATCTTTCAAGGGGGTAGGGGATGTATTTGGAGGTCTTTATTTGGTTTTAATCTGTAATGTTTTAATTACCATGTCTACAGTTCGAAAGCAAGAAATTGCAAGTAGATAAATAGGTACCACTTCAGTGGGAAGGTAACAGCGTTCTGTGCACCTTGGTGTTTAGTCATGCCGGCCACATGACCACGGAATCATCTTTGGACAGCGCTGGCTCTTCGGCTTTGAAACGGAGATGAGCACCGCAACCCTAGAGTCAGATTCGACTGGCTTTCGAGCAAGGGAACCTTTACCTCTACCTTTACCTTACTTAAAAGGAAGGCAACCCTGAATATAAAACAACCCCCCTAAAATATGTTATACACCAAAAATTATTTTTACTGGATATAACTGTAACTTGTATGCAAATGTGAGACAGCCCCCTCTTTTTATGACATACCTGGAGGGGGGGGGACTAGTCTTGCATTGGCACATGTACCGTGTCATTTGTAAGCTACCTTGAGCCAAGAGGAAAGGCGGGATATAAATATTTTAATCAATAATAATTAAATAGAAGTGGCAGCAGAGTCCTCTGCTGACATTGTTCTAGTAGTGAACACACAGTCAGATCCCGTCTAACTGTTCTTGCGCAGTTTGCAGTGCAGATGGGTCTAGGGGGGCCAGTCGGGGCTGAGGACCAGCCCAGGTGGGAGTGCAGAGTCTGTTGGCCATCATCTTCTCCTTGAAAATCTTTCCTAAGAGAGCTCCTAAGGCATACTGACATCTGCAGGAATCAAGGCTGTAATAGTAGAGCGATTGATAAGCACGGGCAGAATTTGAGGAGCAAAATGGGGGGAAGATACAGACACAGCAGCCTGTGAGCAGAAAGTATTGCCAAGAGGCATTGTTGTAAAGCGGTGATTCCATTCAGGTTTCTTGCTGTGACACCAGTGCACATCAGGTTTAGCAAGTCATGCATGCATCAGATTTGCAAGAATGATACTCATTCGTAACTGTAACAGGGGCTGTAAATAGAGTCAATCAAGTAGAGAACAGTCAGAAGGGGAATTTGAGGGGGGCGGCCTATATCATTCCCACTTAAACTGGCTTGGCGGGTTTAAATGGTTATGTATATTGTAATATTTTAGGGGGCCTTTTCTAGTGGACGTTAGATGTTAGCATCCACCCTTAGGTTAAGAAAAGGCCAGTACGCATCTCCTTTTTCTCAAACCTCCCTTTAGGTTTCTGCTTAGTTAGTGCAGGTTAACTTTATGGGAAGGGACCATGGCTCAGGGGTAGAGCATCTCCTTTTCACATGGAAGGTCCCATGTTCAATCCTTGGCATCTCCAGTTAAAAGTATTAGGGAGCAGGGGAAGTGAATGGTCCTCTACCTGAAACCTTGGAGAGCTGCTGTCAGAGTAGACAGTATTTACCTTGGCAGATCAGTGGGCTGACTCTACACTTCATGTATTCAATGTCTGTGCTCTAACTAAGTTTCTCTTCTGCTGGCAGACAGCTTTCTCTGACTTCCTCACGGGGAGCTCCAAAGACTTAGCAAAACACATCAAAGTGGTGGTGAGTGGACACTGGGGCTGATGACTTTTTTTTGGGGGGGGGCGTTGGCAAAGAGAAGATACTGGCCGGGATGAGGGGGGGGTCAGTGTTGGCAACTATCCTTTACATGTTAACATGGAAGGCATTAAGAAGTTATCCCTGAGTTTCTCCACAGAGATGTTTTTGTGGTTCATCCCCATTACAGCCAGCCCTGGAACTTGATTGGTTCATTTATTTATTTTTAATTAGTGTGATGGGACAGACTTGACCCCTAAGATCCAAGATCTGAAGCCCCAGTGCTTAGTCTTCCTGAACATTCCAAGGTGAGTAGCCTCTCTTAAAACCTAGAAAGCTCAGTGATTCTCTGCCAGTATTTCTTTACCTCCCCCCCCCCTTTTTTTTTTGCTTGCCTATGACTTGAGGAATACTGCCATCTTATTTCCAACAGCCCTTTTCTTTCCTCATGTCTATGTGAAGGTACTGTGCAGGCACTATGCCTTGGGGCAACCCTGGGGAACACCATGACTTTGAACCACAGCGCCATGACGATGGTTGTCTTGAGGTCATTGGCTTCACCATGACATCCCTGGTAAGTTGGTGCTGTCCCCAGTGACTTGCGAATAGAGTGTGAGCAATGGCCTTCCGTCCTCATAAAGGTTCGTTTCTTAGCACCCTCTGCACTGTCTGGGAGGGACTGCGGCAGGAAATCTTTGCCTCCGCAACACTTCGCAATACTCAAAATAAAAACAACCCTAACTATACAGTGACTAAGTCTAACAATGAAGTTGTTAGTAACCTCGATGAAACAGCCTGCTCAGCAGTTGTCAGCTTGCCTGGAGCCTCCATCTGGTAGAAGCACTGCTTCCGCTTTGGTAGCTGCTGGTTCAAGTCCCCAGTGCGCTCCTTGTACATATGTCAATGGTCTAATAGCATGTTTTGCATTACAAGGTCCCTGGTTCAGTCCCCGGCATCTTCAGTTGCCCTGGACTAGATGGCCCAGGCTAGCTCAGTCTCATCAGATCTCAGAAGCTAAGCAGGGGTCATCCTTGGCCGCTATTTGAATGGGAGGCCACCAAGGCCTCCCAGGCCCGCTATGCAGAGGCAGGCAGTGGCGAACAACCTCTGAATGTCTCTTGCCTTGAAACCCCTACAGGGTCACCATAAGTCGGTTGTGGTTTGACGGCCCTTCCCACCACCACCACCACCTTCAGTTAAAGGATCCTGGTCATCAGGGCTGGGAGAGACTCCCCTTTTGAGTTCAGGGAGAATTACAGCCTGTCATAGGAGATTATACCTAATTAGATAGATTGGTTCTGGTTCAGGGTAGATGAGGCACATGGAGATCCATTATGGATCGAGTACGCAAGTCTAATTTTTGATTGATGGGGAGAGCAGAGGAAAAGCTGAGGAGTTTAACTCTTCGTCACCCTGCAGTTTTGCTGATTGAAACCCCCGCCCACACACAAACACTGTTATTAGGCATCCAAAGAAAAGGTTAGGCAGCCTGGCTCCCCCCCCCCCCTTTAAGAATACTGCTTGGATGGGGGGGGATCCATTTTGTCTGGTGCTTCACAGAAGATCGTTAATGGCTCCAGTTCAGGGCTCATGTGACTTCTGTTCATTTTATCAAAATGAATCTGGTCATGGATTCCCCTAGTGCCTTGTCCGATTCGACCCTCATTGTGAATCAGCTTCATGTGTAACTAATGGTCGGAGGCACTGTGGTCTGGCTTCATCTGTGCCACTCTGCATGGGCCTATGTTTCACTGATGCAGAGGCCAGAAGTGCATCTGCCCTGTGTACCCATTGGTTCATTCTCCTCAGCTGACCAAACAGGTGAGTTTGGTTCCCAAGTGCAGTTCAGATGTGAGAAATCCTGTCAGAGTTGGCTGTCGTGGTCTTTCCCTTTTACACTCTTGTTCTTTTCTCTGCAGGCAGCATTGCAGGTGGGTGGCCATGGAGAGCGGTTGCACCAGTGCCGAGAGGTGGTGCTCACCACATCCAAGGCAATCCCCATGCAAGTGGATGGAGAGCCCTGTAAGCTGGGGCCCTCCTGCATTCGCATTTCCCTGCGCAACCAGGCCAACATGGTGCAGAAGACTAAGAGGCGCAACTCCATGCCCCCGCTTAATGAGTACGTTCTGTCTGACGTGAGGGCTTCCCCAAAGCTTTGTGGCAAGTTGGCAACACTAGTTCAAAATGCAAACCTTTGCTTGGTGGTGAGCTGCTGCTCTGCTGACTTTGCCTCTTCCTGATCCTTTAACGAGAGAGACCACCTGTTCGTTCAGTTCTCAAGTTTCAGCTTACTTGGATTTGTATCTTTTTACAGAACTTCAGGCTGAATTTACAGTGTTCCTAAAACCATCCAGAACCAACTCCAATGCTATACAGTGTATAAAACAGAAAATAAAACCTTGTGGAGTGTGACACATTTAGAATATCAACCAACTAACCTAACAGTTTCTTCCTTTCTCTGTTATGCACATACAAGCACAACCTTTTCTAAGACTGTTTTATCTGGAAGTGCTCAGTATTCTCCAAGGTCTGGATGTAAGCAGATGGATGAAGAAGGGAGGGAGCAGGCGCATGTGTTTTCACAGAGGAAGTGCAGTTTCTCCGTTGGCCTCTGTTAAAAAAATCAAAAAGAAATATTAGAGGGTTGCCCCAGAGACTCCCAAACATTGATAATCAGTGCAAGATCTTGAGTACACGTGTGGGATAAAGAAGATGGGTTAGTAGCATGCTGTCTGGCATAGGAAAAAAATAATATTTGGAGGGAGTTTGTATTTCCCTGGCACTCATGCTCATCTCAGCAAGCCAATCCTGCTCAGATCTGAACATCAGTATTCTCCCACCTTGCATTTTATGTAGTGGTGTTGCTCTCCCCATCTTCCTTTCTGTGCCAGTGCTGAGCCTACTCGGATTTCTGTCCACATTATTAATTTGAAGGATTGGGGGGGTGGAGCAATGCATTGGGAGCCCAGCCAGAGATGCACTTTGGACATGGGGGATATCCTGTGCCAGTTTTGTCTCTTTTCCCCCAAAGCTCTGTTGCAGTGTGTCCACTTTAACAGTAAAGCCCTAATGCCAGTGTCTTTGCAGACGCATCCTTAGGAAACGGTAGCACAGTGTTCTCAGCTGGGAGATGCAACTGTTGTTTTTTAGTTCTTGTCCAAAGAAGAAAGGCAAGATGAAGGTTTTGAGGAATTAACTCATGGCTGTTAGGTCTTTATGGAGCATTTCGTGTTGCCTTCTGAGATTTTGCCAGCCCAGAGTTTCCCTACCTTCTCTTCCTCCTTACCCAAAATAACATCATCTTGCTCTCTTTAGTGGGCCAGTCCTAATTATCCTGTCTCTCGTTCTTCCTGCTATGCATACAGACAGCACCCAGTCCCAGAGCGGCTACGAATCCGTGTCAGCCGAATTGGCATGCACGACTATGAGACACTTCACTACGACAAAGAGAAGCTCAAGGAGGCCTGTGAGTAGTTGGCTTTCCTAATCTGGCTTGCCGGCCCTGTTTGGAGAAGGGGATAAGGTAGCCTCCAGGAGCAGATATTAAAACCACTCCTCTCTTAACCAGCTGCCGGCCTTTAAGAGTCTACTGACATGTGAAAACAATAGAGAGGTTTGTGGCACCGTAGAATCTAGCACACTTGTTTTTGCATATGCATTTGTGAGCAAGCATCTGCTTTGTATTCAAATGTGCTTAAAATGACATAGTAGAGTCTTTTCATGGGACTCTGTATCATTTCATTATGCACATAGCAGTTTTTTTAAAGATCTCTCATTTAGAATCATAGAATCATAGAGTTGGAAGGGAACTCCAGGGTCATCTAGTCCAACCCCCTGCACAATGGAGGAAATTCACAGTACCTCCCCCTCCACACCCCCAGTGACTGCTGTTCCATGCCCAGAAGATGACAAAAAACCTTCAGGATCTCCAGCCAAACTGGCCTGGAGAAAAATGGCGTTCTGACCCCAAAGTGGCAGTCGGCATTTCCCTGGGCATATAAGAAAGGGCCACAAGAACTAAGCACTGATACAACCCTTCCTGCCCTCCCTCTTATGTTCTGTCTAAGTTCACACAATCAGCATTGCTGTCAGATGGCATCTAGCCTCTGTTTGAAAACCTCCAAAGAAGGAGAGAGCCCACCACCTCACAAGGAAGCCTGTTCCACACTCAGAAGCAAACACCTCCATATGAGAAGGCTTCTGGTCTAGCACTCTACCTATTGCACATTCCACTCTTCTCCCTAGGAGTGGTGTAATTGGTTATCCTCTCAACCTTATGGTTAGGCAGAGTTCCTGATCTAAGATCACCCACTGAATTTGATGGCTGAGCAGAGATTTGAATCTGCTCTCTCCAGTCCAACTCCAGTGCTCTAATCACTGCGACATGCTGACATGTTAAGTTCTGCATGCTCAGATTTGGTTGAGAAGGCATTTTCAAGCGAACAGTCCCATGTGTATTGTGAGGTCATACAGCTTTGTAAAAACACTGCTTGTCACCTGCATGGTGGCATGATTGCTTGCTATCCTCTTCTAGAATTAAACTTGGCTCTCAAGGTTGTCAAAAATGCCGTTAGCAGGCAGAAGGATGTTTCCTAATATGTGTTTTCATTTTTCAGCTGTGCCTATGGGAATTATCGTTGTGCCTGGAGATAGTGATCTGGAGATGTGCCGGACTCACATTCAGAGACTGCAAGAGGTGAGATGCTAGCAAAATTCTTAGAAGAAGAGGCGTTCTCCCGTTGGTAAAGGTATTCTTTTGGGGGGCGGGGGCAGCAGCAACTGCGCTGTAATTTCACAACTATAAGGGATATTGATGCCTCTGGGATTATCAGTGCCATTGTAGTATCTGGATTTCTGTATGCCTACTCATGAATCTTAACTATTGATGGAATAGTCAGTACTGACTATTCCTGCTCTCAGCTCCCAACTCACATTTCAGTGTACAAAGTAACAGGAAGTTGTTTAGTTAATTCTCATTGGGTTCAAAGTGAGGCTTTCCCTCCCTTCGCATGCATGTAATCAATGGGCTGAAGGACAGCCCAAGCTACCTTTTTCTTAAGCGGAGCCTGTGAACAAAGTCAGGACTAACAGAACTGAATGCTGTACATGCTGTAGTAGGGGCAGAAAGGAAACAGTGGCTGATCCTGGTGTAATGAAAAGAAGGAAATGGGGAGGGGGGGGCGGCAGAGACAGCACGTGCTTTTTCCTTTATATGCTCACAGAGATGTTCATTCCAGATGTTAAATTTTAGTTCCATTGGTAATGAATGTTTTACTGGCTCATTCCCCACACTTAGAGCGAGTCTAAATCAGTGAGGACTTTGCCTAGGATTTTATGCGTATGGATTTCTGCCTTGCTCCCCTCCGAAGGCTCTGCTATGCTTCTTCTAGTTCTGAGAAGAGCTTGCATCTTACCTGCCAGCTTTGTATAAATAGAAAATGCAGTTACTTTTAGCTGAAAGGTTCTGTTGGTTTCCTGCTTTGGCTCGAGCAAGAATGCATAGAGAAGGCCACTACTGTAACGATATGAGCTTATGTTTGTATTTCTGTATAGTGGTGATGCTGCTTATGTGTGTCTCTAGCATGAATACCTATGCAATATGTATTCAGGGATTGCTGTATGTTGTGTGTTGCTTTGTTCTGCATCTCATGCTTGCCTAGAAATAGGCTGGCCTGGGCCTGCCGTTGCACATACGGACCATGTGCGTCCCTGGAATGTATCCCATGACTCTTTGGGATGGAGAAGACACCGCGCCATTGCACCCACTTGGAGAGCTATGGAAAATCCCCAGCGAACCCCGGCATTCTTGGAATGGAAAGAGCAAGTGACCCTACTCCCTTAATCTGGTTTGGAGATCTAAAGACAATAGCGTTTATGGCTTTGGAGCAGGAACCAGATCTGCAAATCAAGAGGGTGTCCATGGGAACGGAAGATTCACACCTTGCCAAAAGGCACCTTTGATGTAGGAGTAGGATCTGCATATTGCCACCACCCCTTAGGGAGAGCGTCATCCCCTCGTCATCCCCTCGTCACCCCCTCTTCATCCAGTAGTGATAGTTTAGAGGACGGGTTTGATAGTTTATGGCTGGATAGCACATGCCCCAAAAAGAGTTTATTTAAGGAGAAACTCTCCTTTGTCTCTCTGGTTAACCCACCCTCCCCATAGCAGTGCACTAAGGTGCTACAAGTGACTCTACTACTTAAGTTCTCCGGAGTCGCGACCCAGAGAGCTCACACGTGGTTTGGCTGGTCCTACCTGTGTGCCTTGGAGTTCACAAGCTGCTGCATTTCGGCTGCCCAGCGTTCCAAGGAGGAGAGTTCTTCCTCAGCTGGACCTCAGATGAGTATAGCCGTGCCCCATTGTGTCTTCCCCATTTTGATGCCTTTGTTATTTTCTATGCTGTAATTGTTCTGATGTACTATTGTAACTAAGGAGCTTGTATGAATTTGTATGATTCCGATTTTGTATGCCTGATGAAAAACCTTTAGTAAAGACAACATTTATTTAAGGACTAGCGTGTTGTCTCACTTCCTGGGATATAGCCGAGCGTCTCATTCGCCATCCGACCTCTGTATAGACTGGTATAGAACTTACGCACAGCCACAAACACCCAATTTTCCTTGGTAGATAACTTGGATTGGGTCTCCAGGAATTTCCTGGAGAAGTTGGCATAACACTATATAGTACTTGGATAACAAGGGAGTTAAATGGGTGGGCAGTGTGTCCGTAGGCCAACCTCTCCCCGGCCCCCAGCCTTTCTGATTCACTCTTCGTTCAATACTTGGTGTCAGCCAGGTAAAGAAGCACTGAATATGCATAATGTTAAGTGTGGAAGAACCCAGAGTCCTTCAAGCTTGGTTCTGGTGGTAAAGCAAATTACAAGAAGTAGTTATGAATAAAGAATTTGTGTTCAGGAAGGGATGTGTAGCTTAACGCACATCGTCAAACTAGAAATATTGGGCTGGAGTAGCTCATGGAATCGTTGCACAGGATTTCATTGTCTTTCTCCCGCCTTCAAATCTTTTCACCGTGCTTGAGACCCGTTTGCCTGCAGGGGTTTGTAGACTCATTTCTTGGATTGCATAAACTAACCTGGGTGCGGAGGAGGCTGCCTGCTCAAAGTGGGAGGGCACCTTGCATATTCTCTCACAAGGCAGAGTGCAAGCACATCAACTGTGGTGGTAACCCAGCTCCTTCCCTTTCCACAGGATTTCCCTTCATGCCCTTCCACTGTTCAGAGCCTGTTCCTTCAGGTGTGTATCTTCTGTCTCTCACCTTGGCCAGAAACACCTTTTCCCTTTGATGTGCTTGCCATTGATACCTGTCCAGTGAAGTTCAGTGCCTATTTTTTGGAGCCGACTCTGTGTGCTGTAGCTCTCTGCTTGCCCTGTTTCTATCCTGTTGTCACTACACATTTACAGTGGGTCTGCCTGAGTTTCCTAATGTAGAATCAAGCCATAAGAGATTTCTGAAGAGGAGCATGTGTGGAAGAGGGCTTGAGAAGTCTGATTCTTTTTGCTTCTTTTGATGCAGGAAGGGGATGGAGCCAAACCAAAGACACTGTCATGCCAGAAGCTGTCCCCCAAGTGGTGTTTCTTGGACTGTAAGTACACAGAGAAAAGTCTGCGTGCATGTAGTTGGATATATGCATCTAGAGATTAGTGCTGGAGTCAACAGGTAGGAGCCGATGCATCAAAGTTTCCGTTGACTAACGTTAACCATCTTAGGGAAGTTTGTTGCTAGTGACGTGGGCGCTGTCATGGGAAATGATTCCTTAATCATACTGTTGTCCTCTGTGTAGAACCCAAATATAAACTGGGTGGCACCTTCTGAAATGTCAGTTGTTCTCTGTTGCCTGTTGCTTCATTTCTTTAGCTACAGTGGAATTTTACAGCTGGGAGGTGGTAGTTTAAAGACCTTATCCCAGCTTCACACTTAAAGTAGCTCCTGTGCTTAGATACTGCAGATGCTGTGAATTTCACTTGGTTTATGAATAGGAACCTTGCTGCATGGGGACGTCTTGGCCTAGAAATTCAGCTAAAGTGAAATATTTCTGAATTATCTGTGCCCACATGCAGTAGCTAGCAGGCAGATTCATCCCAGCTGGAGTCTAACTGAAGTACGTTGGCTGCTCTGTCTTTCCTTTTTTCATACACAAAAAGGGTGATGATGATGATGATGAAGATGATGAAGATGATGATGATTTATTAAATTTATGAATCGGCCAACTCCGTGAACGGGCTTTGGGTGATTTACAACCCCAAAACAAATTAAAATACAATCGGCCTAATAAAATTATCATCGTACATTAATAAAACAACCAAATCAGATGGCGATCAACTCCCTTTGCCTGCTGCAGTGCCCTGTGCGCAGCAGGGCAGGGAAGGGGGCATGGGGGCCATAGAAGAAAAGGTGGGTGCCAGTCCTAACCATTGCTGCCCTCAATTAAAAGCCTGGCAGAACATCTCTGCCTTACAGGCCCTGCAGAATTACATAACATCCTGCAGGGCCCTGACGTTGTTTGGGAGAGAATTCCACCAGGTCGGGGCCAAGACCAAAAAGGCCCTGGCCCTAGTCGAGAACGGCCGGACCTCCTTAGGGCCAGGGGTCACCACTAAGTTGTTATTTGCTGATCTCAGCATTCTTCTGGGGACATATTGGAGGAGGCAGTTTCGAAGGTACATGGGTCCCTAAACGCTCAAGGCCTTAAAAGTCAACACTAATACCTTGAACCTGACTCGGTATTCCACCGATAACCAATGTACCTGGCACAGCACAGGTTGTAGATGTACTGTCCATGGCGTTCCCACCAGGTCTTGTGCCGCTGCATTCTGGACCAGGCAGAGCTTCTGGGTCAGTTTCAAGGGCAGGCCAGCATAGAGCGAGTTACAGTAGTCCAGTCTGGAGGTGACCGTTGCATGGATTACCATGGCCAGGTCAGGGGATGACAGGAAAGGGGCCAGCAGCCATGCCTAATGTAGGTGGTAAAATGCCAGTCCGGCAGTATTAGTGACCTGTGCCTCCATAGACAAGGAAGCATCCAAGTCACACCCAAGATGCATTGGTCAAAGAGTGTACAGCAGTGTATGTTGGCTTATTAAGCTTTTGTGCATTTTTAACAGTCAACTAATAAGGTGAGGGGTACTTCTAGGCCAGGGAATGTGTATGTGGGCCACTAAGGAACTGGGTGCAAAATTATGCCTAGACCTGAAAAAATAAAGTGAAGTTCCTGATTTCTGTATTAATTATCCACAAAATCACAGAAATTTGTAATATTGGCATACTGCCCAAAATGTTTACAGGCCTGTAGGCTAGCTCTAAACTTGAAGCTCCAAGGTTTGTTATTTGTTACTGGATCAAATAACGCAGAGTTCCTGTCATAAGAATAGTTGGCAAGTTAATTGGAACTCATTATTTTAGGGCCACAGAGGGCCTAGGATGGTGGTAGTGGTGAGGAATTCACTAAATAGCACAGTTCTTTATTCCAATTTCAAGCATGGTTGTGATAGAAAATGCCGACAACCTGTAGCCAACTTATGGAGACCCCATAGCAGAGGTCATTTCGTAGAAAAAGAGCTAGGGGAACTCATTAGCATAACTCATTAGCATATGCCACACCCCCTGACATCAGGGGCCCGGCGGTGGACCTGCAAGGCCAGCGTGAGTGCGAGGAAGCCCCGCCAAGGCCCTCCTTGGCCCCAGGCAGGCAGGGGTGGAGAGAGGTGGGGAGGAAGCAACTTACCCTCCCTCTTCTCCTGCCTCCTCCTGGCTGAATGAGGGCTGGAAGCGGGGCGGCCGGAAGCAGGTGGCGGGGCTTCGTCATGTGCCCCGCCCCCTGCACCTCACCCGGGGGAACTGCGTTCCCCCGCGTTCCCCCCCGAAATGACCTCTGCCCCATAGGGTTTTCAAGGCAAGACATGGTCAGAGGTGGTTTGCCATTTCCTGCCTCTGTGCTGCAACCCTGGAATTCCTTGGTGGTCTTCCATCCAAATACTAACCAGAGCCAACCCTACTTAGTTTCTGAGATCTGACAAGATTGGGCTAGCCTGGGCTATCCAGATTAGGGTGTTAATTTCAAGCACTGTAGAGTAGAATTCAGGCCAAACACAGCACATTCCATCTTCTCCCAGCAGGAGACACTGCTGTGTGTATAGAGTTTTGGTACCATGAAGTTGCCTCTTACTCTTTCTTCACATCAGACTAAACGGTCTTTCAGCTAATATGAATCCTATTTTTCTCCAGCAGGTGGCTATGTAAGAAAAGGAGTGAGGGAAATGTGACAGCTTTAGCCTTACCCAGCCAGATCCAGCATAAGCCTCTAGGACCAGTGAATATGTTGTATTCATAGTTACCTTTTGTAGATCAAATTCAATTATAGATTTTACAGTGGGAGTATAATGAGAAAAGGAAGTGTGGCTGGTTGGGGCTCTCCACACACACACCCTTGCTGAGCCTGTGACCCAACCGGCTGTGTTTTTGCAAGAATCCCCCTAACCCCACCCCCATGCTCGGTGGGGCAGCAGAGACTTATTTACAAACACAGCTTTGTTCCAACTTCTTTCTCAGACCCTCTCCCCCCCACCCCACCCTAGCTGAGGAGCTGATGCTGTGCTGCGGACTGCACAGTTCACTTTTACTAGCACATTTTTGCTGTTTTTCATTTTTGGTTTGAACAAGACTCAGGGGGGGCTCTCCCACAGACAGAGACAATGGAGCCTTTTGTGCCCTTGTAGCAGTGGAGGAGTGAGTTCCCAAACACACAGGGAGCAGCTAGCTGAGGCTATTGGGCTGCAGTGAGCCTGAAAGCCAGCAAGGTCATAGCAAGCACCAGCAAGGAGGACCGAGAAGCCTAACAGGTGGGGAGAGCGCCTCTTCCCATGGGATTTAATGCTAACTCAGGGAGAATCCAGAAAGAAACAGAAAGTAGGTGGGCATAAGTCATACCAAGATTTGGAGATGTTTGGGAGAGATTTCATTCAAAGCCTCTTTCATGCTGACTAAAGAATTGTCTCCATCCTTCCTTCACACTATTTTTATTCCCATCTCATTTAGTTTCTCGTAATCTCCTGTTCACAATTTTCTGGGGCTTGTTCTGTTTTCTATGGCACCCAGCCCTTATTGCAAGGGTGTGTGTGTGTGAGAAGTGGAGCTGACCTTTAATCAGTTTTGGCTGCTAAATAGTTAGCTTTTACTTCTCCTTCCAATCCATTCCTCATGCCTTGCACAAAAAAGAACTCGCCCATCAGATGTGTATACTCTCTGATCACGAGGAATAATATGAGCTTACTG